GATCGGTTCAGTCGTTATTAAAAAATTGCTGATTACAAATCTCCCCTCCACTAAAATGCCTCATATTCGCGTATAAGAGGCACGGCGTGCTCGCGCAGTACGAGCGCAACTTCGTTGCGCGTGAACTTGGCGCGAGGCACTACCGTGCCTCTTGATCTTATTTGCATTAGCACATGTATTCGGCGCTGATAATATCGATCAGTTGAGAAACCGCAGAAATGCTACGCTCTGATGTTGCATATCGTTAATTTTTTTTTTTTTTTTTTCAACTCGAAATAAATATTATCAATCATATCAATTGCGACGTATAAATGAAAGACAAGTTTTCCGATTTTTAATTTTCTCACAGGATCTGACGTTGTTTGTGGTTTTTCTTGCGGCGATGGTCGGTACCGTGGTACCAAAACCATTATGGTCAACTTTAGTCGGCAATTACGTATATTCTACGCCTGAGATCAAAGCACAACCGCAATATCTGGCCGCGTATCAACAAATGCACGCTCCGTATTATGTTTACAATGTATTATTATATAAATGGCTTATAAAGTATTTTAAGTTGTTTGTACTTTGCGATCACGCATTTTATTTTACGTTTCTTAGATTCATCCGAACATGGCGGGTATATCTACTGTTTACGGCAAACCGGGAGTTTCTCACATTCCCGCTTACAATATCTACTACGGCACACCGATTTACGATTTTCGACTCCCATTGAGTCCGGTAATTAATTAAGTTTTGAAAAATTAATCTATAAATTACATGTATATACTACGATTGTATGAAACTAAAAATATCAAAAATTTGTAGACGCGCGCGTAAACGTACGTTTGTTTGTTTCAGTTTTATCCAATGTTGTCGCCGGGTTTACCTTCTAGACCGGTACTTCCGCCGACATCGACGCAAGAGCCGCCCTACAACGAGGACGATTACGACGGCATCGAGAAATTGGATGCGAAAGTCGATCCAGACAAGGAGACAAAGAAGCCGGAAAACATCAGCGAGCAAGATGACGATTCCATAACTGTGGAAGCATTATAAGATAAATTTTTCTCGTCACGCGCGCAACACGTGCAAACGCGGAGAGAATAAAGATGTAATTGTACGAGAGACGATATAGGGTAACTGTCCCTATTAGTGTGCCTGTCCCGATTAGTGTGCCTTTATATTTAAATAAATATTACAGAAAAACAAGTGAAAATAAATAAGTAGAGTATTTTTTTATTTATAGTTATGATATCAATGGATTTTTTAAAATAGTTCATT